TGCTGCTCACTGCGGATCACCCACCTGACCACCGTCCCCCTTACCACACACGGGGCTCTGAGCTCTGCACGCAGGTGACCCCCCTTACAAGATCGGTGGATACCCCGCCTCAGTCTCTTCAGCCATAAGATGGGATCAATAATTCCCTCCTCACAGCTGAAGGGAAGCCTGAGCCCAAGCCCTGGCTGTTAAGCCTCAGCCAACTGACCCGCCCGGAGGCCTGAGTGACCATGGCCTCTCCGCCCACCCGGAATGGTGCGGGGCTGCCATGTGGACAGCGTGTGGACAGCCTGACAGAGCCCGAGCGGCCGCCTCAGGACAAACACCATCATTCTTTCACCAAACACACTTGTCAAGCCCTTCGTCCTCACAGCGATTTCATGTGGCTGTGATTCCTGTCCCCACTTTCCAGATGAATAAGTTGAAGTCAGAGAGGTTATACAATTGCCGAGGGTTTCACCGTGGGTTACGGAAGAAGCTGGTGTCTGGATCAGGTCTGTCTGAATCCCAAGCCCATTTCTCCCTTCTGTTCTACAGAGAGTTAACTTTCCAACCCATGGAGGTGCTCCACCAGAATGTCCCAGAGATGGACAGAGCCAGGCCACGAACTGGGAGCAGGGGAGCCCAGGACAGGGATGGAAAGAAACCAACATCTGTCAAGTCCCCAGAATGTGGCAGGCTCTTGACAAGTATCACCTCATCTAACCCTCTCCCACCATCCTGGGGGTCACCTCTGTTCAGGCTGAGAGGTAAGTGCCTGACCCAAGGTCATGTCTGGCAAAGAGCAGAGCTGGACTCAACCCCATGCACCCAAACCTGGTTCTGCGCTTCTCCTGTTGCAGCAAATGGGGACCATCCGAATCTACGGCCCCAACTGCAGGTCCACAGGAGGAGGCAGGGGAAGGCTGCCCTGGGCCTCAGGCTCTCCTTCCCAAGGAAGGGCCCGGAAGCCAGCAGAAAGGGCCCTGAGCTGGAGGCCAGGCCACCTGGGCGCTGACAGGCGGCAGGGTACAGAAAGGGCACTGGGTCAGGAGTCAGACCAACTGGTCTAGGATCGGCCCTGCACTGCTCACTAGCTATGTGTCTGGGAAGGGACTTAACCTCCGTAACCTTCAGTTTCCCCAGCGGAAGAGTGGAGAAAATGACAGAACCTCTTTCTTGGGGCTGTTCCGGGAGTTAAGTGAGCGCACATATGTACTGCCTTTAGCACTGTGACCGGCACACAGCTGTTACCCAGGGAACATCAGCTGTCATCATTCTAGGCTTGTCCCTCTCCTAGGGGCTCATGGGGAGGCCATAAAAATCCTCTGGTCTCAGTTCCCTATCTGTAAATTGGGGTCTCAAGTCTCCTCCAGTCCTAATATCCAGGGCTTCAAAGTCTGGGGCTTCAAGCGCTGACCCCTTGATCCCCAGCAGAGACAGTTGTCTGGCCTCCCATCAGACAGATGCGTGACGCAGCGGCGATGGCCCTTACCAGGTGGAAGGCCTCATGGGAGTGCTGGAAGGTCAGGAGCATGTACTTGAGGACGGACAAGGCGGCTCCCCGGACAATGGGGTACAGAAGCTTGGAGAAAACCTGCAAGAGAATCCCTTGTCAGGAGTCCCCCAGGCCTGGGCCGCCCCAGACCAAGTGCAGCCACAGGCCTGAGGGGGATCAGAGACCCCCAAGTTGAAGCAGTGGACCCATGCCAGAGCAAGACCAGGGAGGCACTCACTGGTGGACAGACAGACGGTGAACTGGACAGCAAGACAGCTAGCTATCTGGTGGATGGATGGACAGACACACCAAAAGTAACGTACACATGCTTGAGTGAGCGGTCAGAGGAGAGGATGGGGAACCTGAGGCTCAGAGAGGGCAGTGAATTGTCCCAGGTCACAGAGGGCTTGGGTGGGAGCCCCTGTGCTCTGCCTCTCAGACCGGCAAGGCCCCTGCCAAGACACTAGCAGGAAGGGACACGAGCAGGGGCCAGGACAGGGGCCCACCAACCTTCTCGATTTTGGCGAGTGAAACCTCAATCAAGATGCTGAACTTCTTAACAGCAGCCAGGCCCTTCAGCAGTGCAATGATCCACTTGTCAATGTTCTTCCCCAAGGGCCAGGACACCCAGTCGATCATCCTGGTGAGGGGAATGACAGTGACACAGGGACTAGGGAGGCCCAAATGCCTGGGTGGTGGCGGCCAGGAACTAGCCATAACGTCCTGAGGCCCCACAATGACTCACTCACCCTACACAGGGCAGCCCTGGGCTATGTGGGATGAACAAGCAAACGAGCCCAGCACAGGCAGCTGGCAGAGACTGGGGCTCCCAGCCCAGCAGGAGGGGAGCCTGGCCCTCTCAGCACCCCAAACCTCACCCCCATACACGATGGGCTGCCTCTGCCTGGACCCTGGAGCACAATGGCAGGAGGGGCACTGGCCCCCAGGGCCAGAAGCTCTGGCTCCAGCAAACCATGGCTTGTGAACTGGAGCAAGTCACTTACTCTCTCAGCCTCAGTTTCTTCCTCTGTAAAATGGGGACAATGCCTACCAACAACAGGGTTGTATGGATTAAAAGAGATAATAGCAAACACTTATGTAGTATCCACTCTGCATCAGGCACTGCTCTATCTGCCTTATTACACGCATCAACCCATCTGACTCCCCTAACACAATATCTGTGCACACTGAGCATAAAGCTAGTAGGTTCCCAGGAAAATATCACTATTACTATTTTTATAATCAGTAGAATGTATTACAGAGAGGTAGAACAACATGAAAGCAAAGTAACAGTAATAACAGTTTCTAGGCACTTTACATGCAAGTACTTCCACCTCCTAATGTGACCCCGTGGAAACCTGACAATTTCTTATACCATCACCCACATCTGCTACCACAGAAGGGGAAACGGAGGCTCAGACAGTTCACTGACCTGTCCAGGGCCTCCCCGCTAGTACCCAGCCTGGGAGCATCACTAGGACAGGGCCCTCTGCGCCTCCCACATCCAGCCCTGGGCCAGACACAAAGCAGAGCTCGAGGAAAGATGGATGAATGAATAAGCATGAGGGTGTGGGCCCTTAAACACTAAATCTAGCCCAGCAACCCCACCCGGAAGAAGGGCCCTCAGCCCTGGGCCCTCAGCCCACCTGCTGACGGCCGTCAGCATCTGAGAGTCCGTCACACTGTCGTCATTGCTGAGGTTCCGGACGACACCATCCATGAGCTCCAGTGGGAGGTGCTGGACCACGCTGGCCAGGGCACAGGACGGTGGCTCCTCCTCTGGAACAGGGGGCAGGGCTGAGCTTAGCGAGGTGGGTGTGCCCCCCACCTCCCCATCGCCCCTTCTCTCATGCTGCCAAGGAACTAGCTGGGCCTCTGCAAAGAGGACATCCAGGCCGCCTCCTCGCCTCCTCAGCATCACGGCCTCTGATTCAATCTTAACTCATTCACTCGTCAACCCGTCCCTGGCACTGCTTTGGGCCAGCCCTGTGCTAGGCACACAGAAAAGCACTGGCCTCGCCTGTGGGCGTACATGCAAGGTCTTTAAGAAGGGGTCACACTGGAGTTGGCGAGAGCAATAGGAGGCATAGATGGGCTTGGGGAGAGGGAGGACTTTCCATCTGGAACCACACAGACGAAGGCCAAGTGGTCAGAGGAACATGTAGTCATCCAAGTTTGCTGTCCAGCTGTACAAAGGCCCAGATTCTTACACACCAGCCTTGGTTCTCCCTACTTCCTTTTCCCTAAACCGCCCTACAATCAGGGAAGGCACAGACCTTATTTCAGTCATTTGCACTATAATCCGGGTTCCAGTTCTCTGATTCGGAAGACCTTGCATGGACGGCCAAGATTCTACATTTCAGAGTTGACACCTGCAGGTTCTATTGCAGCTCCAGACCGTCCCTCTGTCTACCAGAGCACCGTGCCCCCGCTGCCGGGTGCTGCCCACCTCTCCCAGATCTGGCTCAAAAGTCACCCCTTCCAGGAAGCCCACCCGGCCCAAAGGGCATCATGTCCTCCTTCCTATTGTCTCGCTCAGCCCCGAGGTCCTCCTTCTGGCCACATTAATCTGGGTTCGACCTTTTCCCACACCAGGCAGTCTGCTCCCCGCGCGCCAGCACCCACCACAGGATAGGCCTCCCAGCAGGTGCTCCGCATAGGCGTGCGAACTCAATACGGGAACATCGCTTCCCACCTGTGCATCCGCCCGTGGCACACACATACCGCACCGCACACGGGCACCCCCAGCAGAAGAATGTGCACGAAAGGGCACACATCAGCACCTTGACACACACGAGCTCCCTCCTGCCCCAACCCCAGCCTCCCAGTAAGCGCACACCCACCTGTGCCAGAGATGACGGCGAACAACTCCTTGAGGCAGGGCAGGATGGCGGCGGCTGCGCGTGCCATAGTTCCGCCAGGAGCCGCTCACTGCTGAGCCTGCTC